CTCATCATCCAGGAGCTGATTGAGGCCCTTAGCTTGTGAAACTTGTGCTCCAGAACAAGCCGTACCCCTAAGCCCCACTGCTCCAGTATACTTACACTAGCATTCACCCAACAATGCCATGTCAACAAAAATCACTAATCCAATGTGGTCAATTACAGCAACATCAATCTTTTTTCCATCATCAGCAAATTATGGAAGGTGATTTTTCTTTTTACCTTCCTGTGCAGGACTCTGCTGCTCTTTACCCACTTTTCCACCCAGCCCCTCCTTTCATATATACTTTCTTGAAAATTAACTAAGCCAACTTAACCAGCTTTGAATCAAATGGAAAATGTTATCATTAACAGTGTTATCAAGCAGCACTTTCACAGCAATTTCTTGTTCACTGACTACTCTGCGTACTGCCAACGCCACACTGTTTCTGACTACATTGCAGATTTGGCTCAAACATGCACAAAAGAGGTGAGGTGAGAATAACCACGCTTGGCATCAAAGCAGCTTTAGAGACAGTGTGACATTAAGGAGCCCCTGCAAAACTGGAGTCCGTAGAAATCAGGGGGATGGTTAGAGTCATACCTAGTATAAAGAAAGATGGTTGTGGTTGTTACAAGCCCGTCAGGATATCACTGCAGGAGTTCCTCGGGGTAGAAATTATTCAAACCACTGAGTTAACACCAGCTCTCCAAATGAGCGTTTCACTTATCCAATTCTCCTGTCCTCTCCACCTAACTCTGTACATTGTTCTTTTTCAATAACAATTTAATTCACTTTTAAACACCTCTATTGAACTAAACTCGCAAGCAGTACACCCCATACATAACCATTCGTCGCATGAAGCAGCTTTCTCTCATGCAGTCTTTTTTGTTCTTTAAAGTAAGGGCAATGTCCCCTAGTCCAAGATTAGGAGAATTTCTTTTTAACTCAAAGATTCTCTGCCCTCACACACAGCTGTGGAAGCTCAGTCTATGAATATGTTTAAGATAGGGATTGATAAGACCATATGACATACAAGCAGAAGTAGTCTATTCAGCCCATCATATCTGCTGCACCAATGAGTTCATGACTAATCTGATCATTTTCAACAGTTTTCCTGTTTTTTTCCTATAACTCTTGGCTCCTCTGTTGTTAAAAATCTAACTCAACATGTATTTAATGACCCGGCCTCAAAAGCCCTCTAGAGCTGTGAATTCCAAAGATCCACTACCCTCAGAGAAGAAATTCCTGCTCCTCTCTATCTCAGACCACTTATTGTGACCTACAAGGAGAAACAACCTTTCTGCATCTACCCTGTCAAGTTCCCTAAGAATCATATATGTTTCAATAACGTCACCTCTCAATCTACTCTATTTCAAAAAGAGTATAGGCCCAACATATTCAACATTTCCTCATAAGATATATTTCCATTTTCCAACGGTGTACAGGATTCTGAGGATGAGGGGAGTAAAAGGCATTGAAATGTTCAATCAGCTATGGTTGTATGTAAAAGAGTAGGCCATTCAGCCCATTCACCCCGTTCCTATGTATCTTCTGGCAATTACTTTAAATATTGCTCTTGAATCGTTCAGGAGTGGGAATAGTTTCTCCCATCTACCTTATTCCAAACCTCTCATGATTTTGAATACTTCTAGTAGCTCTTCACTAAGAAAAGCAGTCCTAACTTCTCCAGTTTACCTTTACAACTGATATTTCTTAATGCTCAAACCATTCTTGTGAATCTCTTTGGAACCTACTCCAACACTTCATAAATGACAAAGGCCAGAACTGGATGGAATACTCCAACAGAGGCTGAACTTGTGTTTTGTCTAAGTTCAATAAACTCCTTTCTCCTGTACTTTAAGCCTCTACTAATAAAGCCTGGGATGCAATATGCTTTATTAACTGCTCTCTCAACCTGTCTTGCCATCTTCAATTACTTATGAGCATATGCATCTAGGACCCTCCACTTCTGTATCCCCTTCAGGAACGTGCCTTTTACTTTGTATTATCTTTCCGTGTTCTTCCAATAAAAATGAGTCAACTGTTTCACAGCAGTAAACCTCAACTGCCACCTGTTTGTTCATTCCAAATTTTAAAATGTTGCTGTCCACAGAAAGGGCGAGCCCATTAATAATTGACTAGAAGAACAAGGGTCCTAACACTGACCCCTGGCAAACTGCAGAACAAATCTTCCTACAGCCTGAAAAATATGTGTTGATCACTGCTTTGTATCAGAGCTAATTAATAGGTTCTATAGCACTGCTGCCCCTTTCATTCATTAGTCATTACTCACAAGTGGTGCTGTATCAAATGCTTTTGGAAGTCCATGTAAACCACATCCACAGCACTGCTCTCATTGACTGCCTACTACAAAAAGAACTTCTTCAAAAACTCTATTACATTAGCCAAGCTTGATTTTCCCTTCAATAATTCATGTTGGTTTTACTTAATTAATCTGCATTTGTCTATGTGGCTATGAATTAATCTGAACTATTATTTCTAGATGTTTCTACACCACTGACTCTTAAAAACCCATCTCCTAATTCCCTAAATCCTGTCCACAGTTTAAAAGGCTAAAGTCAGGAGTGTGGTGGTAAACTCATTGCTTATCCGGATGCATGAGATTCCAACAGCACTCAAGAAGCTCAATACCATGCAGAATAAAGGAGTCCACTTGATTGTTATCACTTGTGAAGACAAGTGAATAGTTAAGGTGGTGGATAGGATACCAGTGTATGCCCTCTCCAAGATGCGCTACTGCAACTCAGCAAGCCTCCTTCACCAGGACTTTCATCAAAGTGTCAAATTCCTAGAACCTATTACCTAACTGCACTGTGTGTGTACCCACACCATATGGACTGCAGTGATTGAAGAAACAGCTCATGATCACAATCAGGAATAGAAACATAGAAAATGGAGGAGTAGGCCATTCGGCCCTTCAAGCCTGTACCATCATTCAATATGATTATGCAATTTCAGTATCCCACTCCCGCTTTCTCTCCATACCCCTTGATCCCTTTAGCCACAAGGGCCATGTTTAGTCCTTGAATATATATAACAAACTGACCCCAACAGCTTTTTGTGGGAGAGAATTCCACAGGTTCACAACTCTCTGAGTGAAGAAATCCTTCTTCATCTCAGTCCTGAGTGGCTTACCCCTTATTCTTAGACTGTGACCCCCTAGTTCTGGACTTCCCCAACATTGGGAACATTCTTGGAGACAGTAAGGACTGCAGATGCTGGAAGCCAGAGTCTATAGGTGTGAGGCTGGAAAAGCACAGCAGGTCAGACAGCATCAGAGGAGCGGGTAAGTCAACATTTTGGGCCGAAACCTTTTGTCAGGGCTGTGGAGGGGGAGGGGAGCCCAGAAATAAATACAGGGATGGAGGGTGGGGCTGGGAGAATGTAGGAGAGATGGTGATAGGTGGATGCAGGTACGGGGTTATTGTAATTAGTCCATGGGAAGGGTGGAGCGGATAGGTGAATGGGAAGATGGACAGGTTAGGTCAGGTCAGGAGGGGGAGGACTGGACATGGGATAAGGCTGGGGTTGGAGGGATTTTGAAGCTGGTGAAGTCAATGTTAAGGCCATTGGGCTGTAAACTCCCAAGGTAAAATATCAGGTGTTTTCTTCAGTTTATGTTTGGTGTAACACTTGATATTTCACCTTGGAAGGTTACAGCTTGCTAGTTTGGCCGAATGTAAACTGGAAGAAAAACACCTGATATTTCGCCTTGGAAGTTTACAACCCAATGGCCTTAACATTGACTTCACCAGCTTCAGAATCCCTCCACCTCCAGCCTTATCCCATGTCCAGCCCTTCCTCTCCTGACCTGACCTGACTTAACCTGTGCATCTTCCCACTCACCTATTCGCTCCACCCTTTCCACGGACTAATTACAATAACCCCCTATCTAAATCCACCTATCACCACCTCTCACACCCTGCCCCCATCCCCACCCCTCCCTCTATTTATTTCTGGGCTCCCCGTCCCCTCCCCAGCCCTGATGAAGGGTTTCGACCCGAAATGTTGATTTACCTGCTACTCAGATGCTGTCTCACCTTCTGTGTTTTTCCAGCCTCACACCTATACGACTTGGGAACATTCTTCTCGCATCTAGCCTGTCCAGTACTATCAGGATTTTATATGTTTCAATGAGATACCTCCTCATTCTTCTAAATTCCCATGAGTACGAGGCCAATCGATCCAGTCTTTCTTCATATGTCAGTCCTGCCATCCCGGATATCAGTCTGGTGAACCTTCGCTGGACTCCATCAACAGCAAGAATGTCCTTCCTCAGACTAGGAGACCAAAACTGCACACAATACCCAAGGCGTGGCCTCACCTAGGCCTTGTATAACTGCAGCAAAACATTCCTACTCCTGTACTCAAATCCTCTCACTATGAAGGCCAGCATGCCATTAGCTTTCCTCACTGCCTGCTGCACCTGCATGCCTAATAAACGAACAATCAATTCTGGCCCTCAATCCCAGCACCCACCTGAACAAAATAAATTAACTTATTTCATATAAGCATAGTTTCTGATAAAACAATATATTACAGATAATTACTTTAGATTTTCATCTAGAAAGGTGTCAAACAGAAAACTCGACTGGCAAGGTGGGAATTATCATTTTCCAAAGGATTTATCATCAAGTGTCTTTGATATATTAAAGTCAATAACTTTCTAACAATAAGCTATTTATGAATGTTAATACAAATTGTCTCAGTAAATAAAAACCAAAAGAGTAGCGGATGCTGTAAATCAGAAACAAAAACTGAAATTGCTGGAAAAGCTCAGCAGGTCTGGCAGCATCTGTGGAAAGAAGTCAGAGTTTGCATTTCAGATAAAGTGACCCTGCCTCAGAACTGAACTTCCTCAATTCTGAGAAAGGGTCACTCAACCTGAAACATTAACTCTGATTTCTCTCCACAGATGCTGCCAGACCTGCTGAGCTTTTACAGCAATTTTGGTTTTTGTCTCAGTAATTACCAAATTCAAAATAAGACTAACCAAAACTTACATTATCATGGCTAAGCATCACTCCTTTAGGAACTCCTGTTGATCCAGAAGTGTAGATTAGTGTGCAACATTGGTTGGCGTTCTGAGACTCTATAATTTCATCCAACACTTCATCGGAAACACTGTTCCCAAGTTCCAGAAATTTCTTCCACTTAAAGTTTAAAAGGAAATTAATACATCTAGTTTTTAAAACAGGCAAATAATGTCTTTAAATACTTAAAATTTAGAAATTCTTAATAAGGTAATGCATACTATTATAATAAATAATTATTTGAGTTAATTATTAGATGTTCAAAGACATAATAAATTATTGATTTCCAGAAGCATTTTTGAGAACACTTACACTAAAAATATTTGGTTTGTATTCTTCCACTGCAAACTTGTACTGAACAATTGCTTTGAGGTGAGGCAACTGATGTGCAATCTACAAATAAAACCCAAAAAATATTTAAATATTCACTGCAGGATTTAATTAGAAAATGAAGTTCATTTCTAAGGAAACAAAATATAGAAGTTGTGAGGTATTATAAAATATTATGTACAATATTAGTCAGACAAGATGCCATTTGTATTTAATTCTAGACTTTCATACGACAAAAGAAGGATAGTGAACCACTGACAGAAGTGCAGAAAAAAGTTACAGGGTGGTGGGGAAAAGACTGAGCAGGCTTAGACACCCTTCACTGGAAAAGAGGAGCAGCATTTCACATTTTGGGTTGAAACCTCAATGTCAGGATAAAATACAGTTCTTGATTTTTTTTAAATTTAACTTATTTTTCCAAATCAACCTGTTCAGAGTTGTTATTACATATCTCTGGAGTAGGTGGGACTTGACCCAGGTCTCTTGGTCTAGGGGTAGGGACACTACCACTGTACCACTAGAGCCCTAATACAGGCTGCAATCCTGCATTGTGCTGACATATTCAACCGATAACAGTTTAGCATTAGTTGACTATTTAGTGGCCATTTAGGAGTTACTCACTTTCAAATTAAGCTCTCAAAGCCAGAGAACCAATAAGAGGCCTCCAACATGGAAGGAGCTACTGACTACCATTGCAGTTGTGGAAGAAAGGGAGTCGCTCAATCCTGAGGTGTCCAGTCAAGACCTTGCTGAAAAACAATTTTTGAAAATATTGGCCATATTTCCGGTGCTTCTTTGTACAGGAGATACCCTGTAATTGCAGCTGTAGCCAAGTAGGCAGAGTCGAGCCTACAAAATCTGGAACAAAAACAGAGTTGCTGGAAAAGCTCAGCAGGTCTGGAATCATCTGTGAAGGAGAAAACAGAGTTAACGTTTCAGGTCCGGTGACTTTTTCCTGATTTACACAGTTCTTTCAGTTTTTATTTAGCCTACAAAATCTGTCTGGAATGCTGTGCTATAGTCTGTCACCAGGAGGATATCTCCAGGCAGTTACTGCTCCACCAAAACACAGCGGATCTCACAAGTCAACTGGAAAATTTCACTCAGACTCTGATCCACAGCTTTAACTGGCATTTTAATTAATGTTACACTATCTGCAAGTTTTGGTTAGTAGGCATTCGCCTCAAACTGGCCTCAAGTAAAATAACTTAGTGGTGGAATGTTGCCAGCAAATTGGCTTGTACAAAATTACACACAGAGACATACACACACACATACACATACAGAAACACGCACAGACACACACGCACGCACAGACACACACAAAATTCCTGCCCAAGGACAACTTTAAAAATATCAAGGAGTTTGACAGGATCTGTCTGTGGACAAACTGTTTCTGCTTACATGAGTATGAGATTGTAAATATAAACTAGCGAGTAACAGATCAAATAAAGATTTAGAAGGAATTTCTGTACAAAGGAGTAGTTGCATTGACATAAACACGAGGAAGAAAGGATTAATGCAGGTGAGCTGGCAGTATCTGTGCAGAGAGAAGCAGAATCAATGCTTCAAGTCCAGTACAACTCTTCTTCACAACTCTGAAGACTCAAAACATTAAGAGAAACAGATTTGAGTCTTCAAAATTCTGAGGAAAAGTCATACTGGATTCAAAATGTTAATAATGGAATTATACAGTACAGAACAGGCCCTTTGGCCCATCAGTCTGAACAACTAAAAATACGCTATTACCTAGACTAGTCCCACTTTGCTGCACTAGCTCCATAGCCTTGAACTCTGTTAACTCTGCTTCTCTCTCCACAGATGCTGCCAGACCTGCTGAGTTTCTCCTGCATTTCTGTGTTTGTTTCAGACTTCCAGCACCCCACAGTATTTTATTTTTATCTAAAGGAATGATGTAGTATGGGCATAGGGTAGGAACTTCTGAGCCTTTGAAACTTTAGCATAGACAAAATGGGCCATTTCTTTCTTTGACGCAGGTTAAATGTAATTCTATGTACAATAGGATTCTACGAAGAAGTAACAAAAAGGGAAAATGCATTGGACGTCCTTTAAAAGAATTTTCAAAATTATAAGGAGCCTCAAAAAAGACTTATGCTGATAGGTAACTTTGCATGGAATTAAGGAACACACAGAGCACATACAGTCATAGATTCATAGAGATAAACAGCAGGGGAACAGACCCTTTGGTCCAACTCGTACATGCTGACCAGATATCCTGTATAAATCTAGTCCCATTTGCCAGCATTTGGCCCATATCCCTCTAAACCCTTCTTATTCATATACCCATCCAGATGCCTTTCAAATGTTGTAATTGTACCAGCCTCCAACTTCCGCTGGCAGCTCATTCCATACATGCACCACCCTCTGCATGAAACCATTGCTCCTTAGGCCCCTTTTATATATTTCCCCCTCTCACTTTAAACCTATGCCCTCTAGTTTTGGACTCCCCCACCCTGGGGAAAAGACCTTGTCTATTTACCCTATCCATGCCCCTCATGGTTTCATAAACCCCTATAAGGTCACACATCAGCCTGGATGCTCCAGGGAAAAATGGGGATACAGAATGTTGGAAGACAGGAATAAACTAAAGAAAGTTTTAAGACATGTATTGTGTGTTGGGGGCCTATTATTTACCATAAAAATGCATAAATTATCTGGACTTAGAAACTGTGCAAATATAAAAACTAAAGATACAAATTAAGGAAGGGTGGCATGGATCATGGCAGACATGGGAAGGTCACAGGCAACTTCATTGAATTAATATTTAATTCCTTCACATTTGTGTGCATTGAATGTATTTTTCATGCAAAAATGAAGGAAAATACACACTACTATCAATAAGTATGAATCCTGGAACTTCTTACTCCACAGCATTTTGGGATCACCTTCACTGGATGGAATGTAGCAGCTCAAAAATGGACCAACCACCACTTTCTCAAGTGTAGCTCAGTTGGCTGGATTCCAATGCTGAGTGACGCCAATAGTGCGGATTCATTTCATTTCCCACACTGGCTGAGGTTACCATGAGGGTCTTGCCTTATCAACCTCGTTCCTTGCTGAAACATGGTGACCTTAAATTCATCACCAGTCTCTCTCTAATGAGTGAGCAATGCTGTGGTCCTCTGGGACTATGGCTACTTTACTTGCACTAAGGACAGGCAACAAATTTTGGCATTGCCAACAAGACCTGCATTTCAATAATCAATTTTTATTATCTGGAAATAGTCAAGACTTTCTGGCTGAAAGGAAGCAGGGTGCTGTGTACGCAGCTTTGAATATGTGCAAGTGCACCATACTTTAAACTGATTGTCAGCATAATTCTTTGCTCATTCAGAATTATCCAGCAAATGTTATCCAACTGCAGAATCACACCTAATGCTCAACACTGTGTTGCATGTTTTACAGCTTCTGTTCTATCAAACAAGTTATTAGATACACAGAGATAGTAGGAACTGCAGATGCTGGAGAATCCGAGACAACAAGGTGCAGGGCTGGATGAACACAGCAGGCCAAGCAGCATCATAGGAGCAGAGAGGCTGACGTTTCGGGCCTAGACCCTTCATCAGAAAAGGGGGAGGGGAAGGGGGTTCTGAAATAAATAGGGAGAGAGTGGGAGGCGGATAGAAGAGGGATAGAGGAGAGGATAGGTGGAGAGGAAACAAACAGGTCGAAGAGGCGGGGATGGGGCCAGTATTAGATACACAGGTCACTGAAAAAGGTGATAGCCGTATTTGTACGTTTGTTTCAAGGTTTTTATGGTCCACTCTCCTGTTCACAATGAATTAATTATTTTTGCTTGATAAAATCATATGTAATTATTTAAAACAAAGTGTAGTCTAAAACTAAAACAAACAGCACCTGCAGAATTTTCAGCAGCTGGTTATGGTCCTCCACCACTAGAACATTAGCTTCACAGTGTTGTGCCACATGCTTGCATGCTTCTGGAGAATTTGTTGCATAAATCCCAACAGCCAAACCACTGCATTGGAGAGAAACTTGCTATTATTGACACATACAATGTTTCAACAAATGCGAAATTTACACTATTGTTGACAGAAAATTTAATTACACAAGTAAACCAATAAAACAGTTGCACTGCATATGGCAACTTTACAATTCTCCTTTTAAGTATTCAAATTTATTTTTTTTTTCCACAACATTGATGTTTAACTTATTAAGATGGCAGGGAATTGAAAGCAAAAAGCCAGAAAAATCTGAATGTGATCTTTACTCTATGCAGAGGTCCATTCTGATAGTGCTTAAGGGATTGCAAATTGCTACCAAAATCTTGGGATTTGAGGGCAACATTAACCCGGGTTCTTGCTCTTGATGGAATACAGTGACTCCTGCATGAGAAGGACCGCATTAAACTGGCAGTAATGTGCATCATAGGCGAAAGGACTTTCAGTTTTGCTTGGCTATGCTCTGGATGTACGACAAACACTAGACTCACATACAGTACAATTAAACTCTATGAAAAATTCAAGGTTCCAAAAAGGAGATTGATGCAAGTCAAAAAAATAAACATTAGGTGCTTCAAAATACTTGGTCATAGTTTCTAACAAAGCTACAATCAGTATATCCCTAAGAAATCAGTCTGCAAAATGATTTTACAAAGAGATTCACTTATTCCATTGCAATGTGTGTTCAATCCAGTCAGGTGCCATTAACATTTAGAAATTTGAAAACCTTATTTTAAACCAAAAGAACTAGGCCTCAAGATTTCACAATTTTAAACAAAATTTCATTTTATACAAAAAGACTTAAACAAAACAAGTGCTAATAATTTAACAACATGGATTATAACTATGTATATCATGGCCCTTTGGCCCATCAGTCTGTAGTGCGAAAAGTATACTACACCCTAGTCTAATCCCACTTTCCTGCACTGGGTCCATAACCCTCACTGTTACAACACTTCAAGTACTCATCCAAGTAGTTTTAAAAATGTTGAGAGGTTTCCTACCTCAATGACGCTCCCAGGTAATGTATTCCAGACCCCCACCCCCAACCAACGTCCCCCGGGTAATAAAGTTTTTCCTCACATCCCCTCTAAAGCTCCTGTCAGTCACTTTAAAACATGCCCCCTTGTTCTTGACCCTTTGACTAAGGGCAACAGCTGCTTTCTATCCACCTTGTCCAGGCCTCTCATAATCTTATACGCCTCTATCAGCTAACCTCTTGGCATTCTCCACTCCAAAGAAAACAACTAGAGCTTAACCAGCTTCCATTGAGACCTGAAATACTCCATCCCAGTCAATATCCTGGTGAATCTCCTCTGCACCTCCTCCAATGAAATCACATCTTTCCTATCATGTTTGACCAGAACTGCACATAGTACTCCAGCTGTAACCTAACTAAAACCATGTATACCTCTATTATAGCCTCCCTGCGCTTATAATCCATAGCACAACTGATAAAGGCAAGTGTCCTGCATGCCTTCTTAACTACCCATTACTCTTTTCTGCCATCTTCAGGGGTCTGTAGACAAGAACCCCAAGATCCCCCATTCCTCTGAGTTTCCTAGCATCCTGACATTTATTGAGTTCTGCCTCATCTTGTTACTTTTTCGAAAGTGCATCACCTCACACTTATCAGGATTAAATTCCATTTGCCATCGATCTGCCTATCTGGCCAATCCATTTACATCATCTCAATATCACACTTTCCTCCTTACTGTCAACCACCCAGGCAATCTTAGTCATCTTACACAAATGTACTTATCAACTCTCACATTCTCATCTGTGTCATTTATAAATATCACAAACAATAAAGGGACCTAGCGCTGATCCCTGCACTGCACACCAGGCTCCAATCACACAAACAGCCTTCTACCACCACCCTCTGTCACCTGTCACTAAGCCAATTTTGGATTGATCTTTCCAGGTTACCCTGAAGCTTTTACCTTCTTTATCAATTTCCCACATGGGACCTTGTCAAAGTCTTTGCTGAAATCTATATAAACTACATCAACTATGCTATCCTCATCCAAACACATGATCACCTCCTGAAAAAATTCCACCAGATTTGTTAGACATGATCTCTCTCTGCTAAAGCCATGCTGACTATCCATGATTTAACCTTGCTTCTCCAAATGGAAGTTAGTTTTCTCCTTCACTATTTTCTCCAATAGTTTCCCTACCACTGATGTTAGACTCACTGGTCTATAGTTTCTTGGACTATCTATACCATCTTTCTGGTAAAGTGAAACGACATTAGCTGTCCTCTAGTACTTCTCCTGTGGCCAGAGATAATACAACATTTTGGGTCAGGGCACCTGTAATTTTGTCTCCCCAACAATGTGGGATACAACTCATCCAGACACGGAAATTTGTCCACTTTTAAAACTGCTAAAACCTCCAATAACTTCTCAATTCAAATACTAATTTGCTCAAGAACTTCACAGACCATCTTCAGGAGAGTACATGAAGTACGAGTAAAGATTTTACTTTTGACTTTCCTCAATAAATTATAATATTTCATTAGTTATTTATTTCTGTCAGGACCACCCCTAAAGTTTATCACAATCCTCTGGAAACTACTTCTTTAAAAGCTAAGCTATTCTCAGATATAGGACTTCCATTTACTACCTCCTGACTGTGGATGCCTCAATCCTTTGTTCCAGCTGCCTTGACTATATTTCCAAGCTAATCTGCTAATTGCCTTCTTTTGCCATAACGCTGATGATCGCTGCACTTTTTATTCAGTAGCTGCAAACCCTGCACTCTTCCAGCTTCTTTTTCGTCTTGAAATCCAAACTGGGACCACCCCCAAAAGCATTTCATGCAGAAAGCAAAGAACTTTCTCTCTATGCTTGCAGTGCAGGTTTAACTAACTTTCATTTACTTGGTTTTCTACTCTCACTGCACCACACATAATCCAAGATGCAACTAAAGTCTCTTAGCAAAAACTCCCAGATAAATCGCATCCATCTCCACGACAACACAACATGCTCTGGGGTGTCCTCAAACAAACACTTGGGTCAAGTATCCCACATTTAAATTCCTTATTTGGTCCGAAGAAAGAAATGGAATTTGAAATCCTTCAAGGTTTACTACCTCCGTTACATTGATGACTGTATCGGCGCCACCTCGTGCTCCCACGAGGAGCTCGAACAGTTCATACACTTCACTAACACCTTCCACCCCAACCTTAAGTTTACCTGGACCATCTCTAACACCTCTCTCCCCTTCCTGGACCTCTCGGTCTCCATATCGGGCAACCACCTAGAAACCGATATTCATTTCAAGCCCACCGACTCCCACAGCTACCTAGAATACTCCTCCTCCCACCCACCTTCCTGCAAAAATGCTATCCCCTATTCCCAATTCCTTCGCCTCCGCCGCATCTGCTCCCAGGATGAGGCATTCCACTCCCGTACATCTCAGTTGTCCTCGTTTTTCAAGGACCGTAACTTCCCCTCCTCGGTGGTCGAGAACGCCCTCAACCTTGTCTCCCACATCTCCCGCACCTCATCCCTCACACCCCGTCCACGCAATAAGAACCAAAAAAGAATCCCCCTCGTCCTCACGTACCACCCCACCAACCTCCGGATCCAACGCATCATCCTCCGACACTTCCGCCATCTGCAATCCGACCCCACCACCAAAGACATCTTTCCCTCCCCACCCTTATCTGCTTTCCGGAGGGACCACTCTCTCCGTGACTCCCTTGTCCGCTCCACACTCCCCTCCAGCCCCACCACACCCGGCACTTTTCCCTGCAACCGCAGGAAGTGCTACACCTGCCCCCATACCTCCTCCCTCACCCCCATCCCAGGCCCCAAGAAGACTTTCCACATCAAGCAGATGTTCACCTGCACATCTGCCAATGTGGTATACTGCATCCGCTGTACCCGGTGTGGCTTCCTCTACATCGGGGAAACCAAGTGGAGACTCGGGGACCGCTTTGCAGAACACCTACGCTCGGTTCGCAACAAACAACTGCACCTCCCAGTCACGAACCATTTCAACTCCCCCTCCCATTCCTCAGATGACATGTCCATCCTGGGCCTCCTGCAGCGCCACAACGATGCCACCCGAAGGTTGCAGGAACAGCAACTCATATTCCGCTTGGGAACCCTGCAGCCCAATGGTATCAATGTGGATTTCACAAGTTTCAAAATCTCCCCTCCCCCTACCGCATCCCAAAACCAGTCCAGCTCGTCCCTGCCTCCCTAACCTGTTCTTCCTCCCACCTATCCCCTCCTCCCACCTCAAGCCGCACCTCCATCTCCTACCGACCAACCTCATCCCGCCCCCTTGACCTGTCCGTCCTCCCTGGACTGACCTATCCCCTTCCTAACTCCCTACCTACACTCACCTTCACTGGCTCCATCCCCGCCTCTTCGACCTGTTTGTTTCCTCTCCACCTATCCTCTCCTCTATCCCTCTTCTATCCGCCTCCCACTCTCTCCCTATTTATTTCAAAACCCCCTTCCGCTCCCCCTTTTCTGATGAAGGGTCTAGGCCCGAAACGTCAGCCTCTCTGCTCCTATGATGCTGCTTGGCCTGCTGTGTTCATCCAGCCCTGCACCTTGTTGTCCAGCTACAGTTGTGTTTGTTAGAACAGAGAAGATTGAGGTATGATTTAATTGAGGCCTACAAAATAATGAGGTGCTTGGACAGAGTGGATAAAGAAGACAGTTTCCCTAGGGGACAAAATCTGTTACCAGAAACTGCAGTTTTAAGGTTATGGCTTAGATGGGACATGAGGAAAATCTTTCTCACCACTTTCAGTGGGTTTTGGAATTCACTGCCCATTATTGGGGGATGCAGAAATCCACTCAAACATTTAAATGGACCTGAGATCTCTACTGAATTTGCAGTAACCTGCTAGGCTACAGACCTGCTGGAAAGCCGGAATGGCTAGTTTATTCTGCCAATGCAGATATGATAGCCTGAATGGCCTCTTTCAGTTTTGTAACCTTTCTATGGTTCTAATTATAAAAGATAGGGGACTGGTTGAGAAACTGGTAAAAGCAGCCTGAAGACAATGCAATTAAAACAAGACAGTTGTTTGTTACACGTATAAGTTTGAGGCAATGTTGATTTAAGAGGTGAACAGCCAGAAAGATAAAATCATAAAACACTAAGTAGGTGAACTCACCGAAGAATTGCAGATATGGCATCTGCAATCCTTGCAGTAAGTACAGTGTAGAGAAATGTTCTCAGTTTATAAGTTAGAGCTATATTATTTGAAAATCATTTAGTAAACCTTGAATCAGAGATAGTAGGAACTGCAGATGCTGGAGAATCCGAGACAACACCGGCCCTAAACCCCACCTCTTCCTCCGTTACATTGATGACTGATGACACGAGGCGGCGCCGATACAGTCATCAATGTAACGGAGGAAGAGGTGGGGTTTAGGGCCAGTGTAGGTACGGAGGAGGGATTGTTCCACGTAACCTACAAAGAGGCAGGCGTAGCTTCAACATTTGTTCATAGCTGCAATTTTCAAAAGCTGGGGCATTCTTGTAAATCTCTTCTGTACTTTCTCTATAACAATGATGTCCTTCCTGTAATAAGGCCTAACCAGTTAACGCATTAATTTCTAAAGCCAAAATTTGTATTCTAAACCCGCAAACGGGATATTTTGAACAATACTTACAATGAGTCCTCCACGAGACTAAAGGGTCAATGTGTTAATAGAAAGATAGGTGTACCTTCCTCTGGAATCTGTCTTCAAAACAGAATTACTAATAGCAAACAACTACCCAAATGTATAGAGAAAGATCATGTCATGTGATCTTGCTTGCAATTTTGTTGGTGGCTATCAAAATCATGTTAACAATATTAACAATAAACAGTAGCACATTTGTTTAAGTCTGATCAGTTTGCAAAAGCACTCACAGAAAAATTGGTGCGAGCTCAAGATAACTAACAGCAAAATATTTAGAACCTATTTTTGATATGAATAATAGCAACCTTTGACTGGTGTGTTTAGGTTAATTCTTTAATTCAAATTTTTAAAAAGAATATGTATACACCATTAACATTACAATTTTGATTAACAGCATAAATTCCTAAGACAATAAAAAATAAGTAATTCTTATCTGGTCATCAACTAACCTTCTACAAAAATGGCCCGAAATTCATAATCAATTATTACAAGTAGAACATACAATCAAGTGACAATTAGGTTGCTCAAGCTCACCGAGCTGCAATTACATAAGGCATACCCTGCTAAAATTGCTCCTATATTTGCGATTACCCACTCTGGAGAGTTGAATCCCAGGATGCCAACTCCCTGGAAACGTTGGAGACCAAGCTGTAAATGTAAAGCAGATATTTTACTCACTGCCACTATTTAAAATTTATTACATTACAACAATGCCTACACTTAAAAAGAACTTCGTTGGTTGTAATGTGCTCTAGACCATTCCAAGGTATAAACAGCACTAAATAAATGCATGTGTTTCTGTTTACGTTAAAAATCTATAATAGTGTATTCTATATGCATGTTTACAAGAAATCGGTCAAGATTATAATCTCATTTTCAAAATAAATTCCAAGAATAACAGTTAGATTCTCATTAAGTCAACAATTTATCTTACTCGGAAAGAAAAGGAGACTAAAATATAGTTCCTTGCATTTTACATTGTTGTTAATTTTTTAAAAAAATTTATTCATTTGTGGGATGTGGGCATCGCTGGCTGGCCAGTATTTATTGCCCATTCCTAGTTGCCCTTGGGAAAGTGGTAGTGAGCTGCCTTCTTGAACCACTGCAATCCACCTGCTGTGGGTTGACCCACAATGCCATTAGGGTGGGCATTCCAGGATTTTGACCCAGTGACATTGAAGGAACAGCAATATATTTTCAAGTCAGGATGGTGAGTGGCTTGAAAGGGAACTTGAAGGTGGTGGTGTTCCCATATATCTGCTTTATACTATTTTATACTTAGTACATTAAGTTGAGAGAGACAGGAGGTACTTGCCTTAAGAAAGCTTTTTGCTGCTTTTCTACATTCTTTGTAATACTGAGAATAGGTTAGTGTTTCCCAATGATTTCTCAGCGAGAAAGCGAGAGCAATACGGTTACCATGACTTGCCACTGATTGATTAAACATTTGGGCAATAGTTAGAGGCGACTCAGCACCACAACAGGTCTTTTCCATTCGGAGCTGAACTGCATCATCTCGCGATGTCGTCCATAGTTTAGTCGCAGGAGCCAGTTTAGTAGGATATTGTATTGAATCTGGAGTAAGCAAAGAAGGACACATAAACAATAGACTCTTGTAGAAATGCAAAATTTCATTTTAGAGGATTTAAGCAGACTATGTTTTCCAGGCAACTGAAGCCAATTGGATAACAGATTATTCATTACTAATTTCTTGTATATATTTTAGATCCCTTCTAGAAGAGTATTCCATTGTCTAATCAAGTATGGGTGGATAACAAGCTAAATATAAGCAAAACCCAAAAATTGGAGTGTTTAATGACATGCAGTAGACTTAGATTTGAAAATGGACATACAATACTAGTAAAGAAAATAACTCTAGATGGAAATAAGGAACAGAAAGCTTAGAATCTGTACAAAGTGGAAACAGGCCAGTCAGCCCATCGAGTCTGCACCGACACTCCGAAGAGCATCCCAGACCCAGACCCCTACACTACCCCTGTAACCCCACATTTACCATGGCTAATATACCTAGTCTACAAATTCCTGGACACCATGGGGCATTTTGGTATGGCCAATCCACCTGACCTGCACATCTTTGAAATGTGGGAGGAACCTGAGCATCCGGTGGAAACATGCAAACGTAGGGAGAATGTGCAAATTCCACACAGTTACCCAAGCTGGAATCAAATCTAAGTCCCAGGTGCTGTGAAGCAGCAGTGTTAACCACTGAGTCACCATGCTGCCCAGGTCATCCTGTAGAGTCATCACAGTAGAGTCATATGATATCAAATTGCAACATCAGCAAGCACAAGTTCCTTCCTTCATCCTTGAGTGGTCCTACCTTCTCCCTAGTTATCCTCTTATTACCATGCCCAACAATCAAAAGATTATGTTACTGTAATAACTCCTAAACAGCAATTATTGATCATCTTCTAATTATTGTACTATTTTTAACAAAGTCACAATACACATAAATTTGTAGATCAATGTTGTGAAAGAAATGGAGGAAGCTTCACAATCTTCTGTTGGGTGGAAAACACTCAGAACAAAAGGTACCTGTTGGAGAGGATGTTTCAGCTTGTTCTCCTTTAGCAGTTGATTCTATATTTTTCTTGACAGAGTTTGAATTGTTAAAATCTCCCAATCTAGCTGCATCTGTAGGAGGCTCTTCTTTCTGAGGTGAAGGCACTTGCTCAGGATTTCTATTTTCCATTCCCAATGGGATTTCAGCTTGATCTATAAATCCCTGTTCTTCACTTTTACTCTGCGGTAGTTCTTCCTCACCTTTGCCATCATGTAAGACCCTTGTATCCCCTCCTGCATTATTCAGCCAGGGACTGCAATCAAAGACTTCCCCCATCTGAAGGATATTGTTTAGAACAAGTTTTTAAAGGCAACAAACTGTGGAAAAGAAACACATATGGATTACTTGCAGAAATATTTTGCCAGTGAAACTCATATACCACTGTTAAGTAAACAGGGCACAATAACAGCTATTTGATTAGAATTATTAATGATATGAAGAAAACAATCATAACCAATTTTTAAACCTATAGTCAAAAGGTAATTTTAAAATATTCAACATGGTAATTTTCAAGACTTTAGAGATCAAACTAAGAGAAAGCATCCCATTTCAAATATTATTTTTCTGATATTTGATTATGTGATGCTGGCTGATTTAAGTGCCCCTCATAGAAGGGTAGGGAAAGGTGATGCAGCATAACTTTCCCTATACTTTGATTCTGCATGATTTCTAACTAATACCACCTTCAAAAAGTGTTTTTTTTTTAAATCACACATGCTTTTCCTGAGCAAAGGCAAGAAGCACACCTTATAGATCAATACAACTATGGTAAATACTAACAATTAACAACACTTACTGCAACTGTACAAGGTGCTGATGAGGCCGTACCTGGAATATTGTGAGCAGTTTTGGTGCCCTTACGTGACAAAAGATATCATTTAATTGGAGGCAGTTCAAAGAAGGTTCAGTAGGATAATCTCCAGTATAGAGGGGCTGTCTCATGGGCAAAGGTTAAACAAGTTTAAGGGTAGGTGATGGCCTAGCGGTATTATCGCTAGACTATTAATCCAGAAACTCAGCTAATGTTCTGGGGACCTGGGTGTGAATCCCGCCACAGCAGATGGTGGAATTTGAATTTAATAATTTAAAAAATATGGATTTAAGAATCTACTGATCACAGTGAAATCATTGTCGATTGTCGGAAAAAACCTGTCTGGGTCACTAATGTTCTTCAGGGAAGGAAATCTGCCATCCTTACCTGGTCTGGCCTACATGTGACTCCAAACCCACAGCACTATGGTTAACTCTCAACTGCCCTCTGAAATGGTCTAGCAAGCCAATCAGTTGTATCAATCACTACAAAGTCTCAAACAAATGAAACCAGACAGATCACCTGGCATTGACCTAGGCACCGGAAAAGCAGAAACAGCCCTGTCGACCCTCCTCACTAATATCTGGGGTCTAGTGCCAAAACTGGGAGAGCTGTCTCACAGACTGGTCAAACAACAGTCTGACATAGTCATACTCATGGAATGAGAATGTCTCAGACAATGTCCCAGACACCACCATCACCATCCCTGGATATGTCCTGTCTCCCCGGCAGGACAGACCCAGCAGAGGGGGTGGTACAGTGGTATACAGTCGGGAGGGAGTTGCCCTGGGACTCTGGACCCCACGAGGTTTCATGGCTTCAGGTCAAACATGGGCAAGGAAACCTCCTGCTGATTATCACATACCGTCCTCCCTCAGCTGATGAATTGATACTCCTCCATGTTGAACAACACTTAGAGGAGGTACTGAGGATGGCAAGGGCACAAAATGTATTCTGGGTGGAGGATTTCAATGTCCACCACCCAGGGTGGCTCAGCAGGAGCATGCAGACCAAGCTGGTTGGGTCCTAAAGGACATAGCTGCTAGACTCGGTCTGCGGCAGGTGGTGAGGGAACCAACAAGAGGGAATAACATGCTTGACCTCATTGTTACGAATCTGCCTGCTGCAGATCCATCTGTCCATGACAGTATCGGTAAGAGTGACCATCACACAGTCCTTGTGGAGACAAAGTCCCGCCTTCAGATTGAGAACAACCTCCATCATGTTGTGTGGCACTATCACCGTGCGAAATGGGACAGACTTTACACAGATCTAGCACCTCAAGACTGGGCATCCATGAGGTGCCGTAGGCCATCAACAGCAGCAGAATTGTACTCCAGCACAATCTGTAACCTCATGGTGTGGCATATCCCCAACTCAACCATTACCATCAAGCGAGGGGATCAACCCTGGTTCAATGGAGAGTGCAGGAGGGCATGCCAGGAGCACCAGGCATACCTGAAGATGAGGTATCAATTTGGTGAAGCCACCAAACAGGATGACTTGCATGCCTAACAGCGAAAGCAACAAGTGATAGACGAGCTAAGTGATTCCACAATCAACGGATCATATCTAAGCTCTGCAGTCCTGCCACATCCAGTCGTGAATGGTGGTGGACAATTAAACAACTCACTGGAGGAGGAGGCTCCACAAATATCTCCATCCTCAATGATGGAAGAGCCCAGCACATCAGTACAAAAGATAAGGCTGAAGCATTTGCAGCAATCTTCAGCCAGAAGTGCCAAGTGGATGCTCCATCTCGGCCTCCTCCAGCGGTCCCCTGCATTACAGATACCAATCTTCAGCCGACTCAATTCACTCCACATAATATCAAGAAACGGTTGGAGACACTGGATACTGCAAAGGCTATGGGCCCTGACAACATTCCAGCAATAGTACTAAAGACATGTGCTCCAGAACTTGCTGCTCCTCTAGCCAAGCTGTTCCAGTACAGTCACAACACTGGTATCTACCCGAAAATGTGGATAATTGCCCAAGTACGTCCTGTACGCAAAAAGCAGGACAAATCCAACCCGGCCAATTACTGCCCCATCAGTCTACTCTCGATCATCAGTAAAATGATGGAAGGTGTCAGTAACAGTGCTATCAAGTAACACCTACTCAGCAATAACCTGCTCAGTGACGCACAGTGACGCACAGTTTGGGTTCCGTTAGGGCCACTCAGCTCCTGACCTCATTACAGCCTTCGTTCAAACATGGACAAAAGAACTGAATTCCAGAGGTGAGGTGAGAGTGACAGCCCTTGACATCAATGCAGTAGTCGATTGAGTGTGGCATTAAGGACCCCTACCAAAACTGAAATCAATGTGTATCAGGGGCAAACTCTCCGGTGGTTGGAGTCATATCTGACACATATGAAAATGGTCGTGGTTGTTCGAAGTCAATCATCTCAGCTCCAGCACATCTCTGCAGAAGTTCCTCAGGGCAGTATCCTCGGCCCAGCCAAGTTCAGTTGCTTCATCAATGACCTTCCCTCCATCATAAGGTCAAAAGTGGGGACGTTCGCCAATGATTGCACAATATTCAGCACCATTCGTGACTCCTCAGATACTGAGACAGTCCATGTTCAAATGCAACAAGATCTGGACAATATCCAGGCTTGGGCTGAAAAGTGGCAAGTGACATTGGTGCCACACAAATGCCAGGTTATAACCATCATCAATAAGAGACAATCTAACCACCGTCCCTTGACATTCAATGGTGTTACCATCACTGTACCCCCACTATGAACATCCTGGGGGTTATCATAGATCAGAAACTCAAATAAATGCAGTTGCTACAAGAGCAGGCCAGAAGCTGGGAATATTATGGCGAATAACTCACCTCCTGACTCCTCAAAACCTGTTCTCCACCTACAAGGCACAAGTCAGGAGTGTGATGGAATACTCCCCACTTGCCTGGATGAGTGCAGCCTCGATAACACTCAAGAAACTTGACACCATCCAGGACAAAGCAGCCCGCTTGATTGGCACTACATCCACACAATTCCACTCACTCCAACCCTGACCCTCAGTAAGAGCAGTGTGTACTATCTACAAGATGCACTGCAGAAATTCACCAAAGATCCTCAGACAGCACCTTCCAAACTCAAGGCCACTTCCATCTAGAAGGACAATGGCAGCAGATAAATGGGAACACCTGAAGCTCCATGTTCCCTCCAAGCCAATCACTATCCTGACTTGGAAATGTATCACTGTTCTTTCACTGTCACTGGGTCAAAATCCTGGAGCTCCCACCCTAAGGATATTGTGGGTTAACCCACAGCAGGTGGACTGCAGCGGTTCAAGAAGGCAGCTCATCACCACCTTCTCAAGAGCAACTAGAGATGGGCAAGAAATGCTGGCCAGCCAATGACGCCCACATCCCACCAACAAATTTAAAAAAAGGGTGGGACTTTACTCATTGGAATTTAGAAGAATGAGCGGTGATCTCATTGAAACATATAGGACTCTTAAGGAGGTTGACATGGCAAATGCTGAGAGGATAATTTAAGAAAGAAAGGAAGAGGAATTTCTTCTCTCAGAGGGTTGAGCATCTTTGAAGCTCCTTGCAACAGAGAGCTGTGGGGACAAAGTCCTTGTATATATTCACAGCAGAAATAAATAATAAACTTTTGATCAGTTGGGGAATCAAAGATTATGGGGAAAAGGCTGAAAAGTGGCCATAAGGAATGTCAATCATCCATGATCATGTTGAATGGTGGATCAGGTTTAATGGGCTGAATGACTTACTCCTGTTCCTATTTTTTATGGCCTTACCCATTCCTTGTCTTGTAACTTTGTCAGAATAAGTGCAGGTTTAAAAAGTATTCCTCTTGCATAACATTACTTACAAACTTTGCCAACTCCCTGGCAGAAAATCTATTGGTAATTACAACAGCTCTATTCCAAACCATCACTTCCAGATGCCTTAACAACTGACTCCACTTTCAATGAAAATAAAACAAAATTATGAAGCTAGAAGACTTCATTTTTACATTTATATAAACTAATATTATACTTTCAAAAACATTAGTTACTACAGTTAACATTATTCCTGAGTTTACTCCACAAGAATAATTTACCACAAAAATGTACGTGTGGAGACAATAGTAATGAAACTATGAACTCGATTTGATTGCAGTATCAAGTATACAGATTAGAGTACAATTTATATTCAGTCACACAACCCTTAAAATATTAGATTGAAAAGAATCATCTGGAATAGGGCATCATGGCCAAGTCAAATCACATTCAGGTTCTATTCGACAGTGTGTAGGATTGGGAGTGCAGCAGGTCAGAGTGAGGAAAAGGAATTTTTCCTTTGAATCATTTGTGGGATGTGGGCATCGCTGGCTGGCCAGCAGTTCTTGCCTATCCCTAGTTGCCCTTGAGAGGGTGGTGGTGAGCTGCCTTCTTGGACCGCTGCGGTCCTCCTGCTGTGGGTTGACCCAATATGCTATTAGGGAGGGAATTCCAGGATTTTGGCCCAGCAACAGTGAAGGAA